GCCTCAGCCTCCCAAAGTGCTGGGATAACAGGCATGAGTAACTGCACCTGGCCAGCTTTTGGAATTCTACTCAAGAAATAATTGTCATGACCAATGTCATGGAGCTTTCCCCCTATGTTTTCTTCTAATAGCTTTAAAATTTCAAGTATTAAGACTTTTATCCATTTTGAGTTGATTTTTGTACATGCTGTAAGATAATAGTAAAGTTTTATTCTTCCACATGTGAATATCCAGTTTAACCAATACTATTTATTGAAAAGATCATACTGTACCCAGTATGTGTTCTTGGCACTTTGGTCAAAAATCAATTGGCTAGAACTACTTAAGTTTATTTTTGGGCATTCTATCCTGTTACATTGATTGTTGTGTCTGCTTTTATTCCAGTGCCATGCTGTCTGGATTACAATCACTTTATAATATATCTTGAAATCAAGGAGTACAATGCTTTCAGCTTTGTTGTTTTCTGCTCAAGACTGTTTTCACTATGCAGGGTTTCTTTCTAGCTTCGTATAATTTTAGGATTTTTTCCTATTTGTGTTAAAAATGACTTGGGAATTTTGATAGGAATGGTATTATATCTGTAGACCACTTTGGGTAATATGGACATTTTAATAATATTATTTCTTCTAATCCATGAACATGGGGTAACTTTCCATTTATTTGTGTCTTCTCCAATATTTTTTAAACACAAAACCAGAATTTATTGAAAGCAGGTACTAGCTCTGATTAGAACAAATCAGCTTAGAGATACCATTACTCAGAAGAACAATACATATAAAAAATACATATATATATAGTAGATACACAATATATACAAAAATCTCAAGGAAAGGACAATAAAAGAATTCAACTTGAATACGACTATATTATGAAAATGGTCTTGTTGCAAAGTAATAACAAATACCACAAAGAGCCCTACTTGAGAAAACCACCTTCAAGCCTGTGAGTGAGGACTCTGGTTCTCAAATTCTTAGAACACAGCACATGATTCTCTGGGACAGAGAGGCTGGCTGCAGCACGAGGGCCTCACTGCTGACTCCATTTAACAAAGTCCATGCCCCAGGCACAGGCTAAACACAGGGAATGAGGCCACCAGGCAAATCATACCCGCTCCTGCCAACATGAGCCTCATAAAAGAGAAGTGCTTAGTGAAACCTACAGACTCGGCAGGGAACACTGGGCCATAGATAGCTTAGAGAGAATTATTCTGTGATCAATCACATAAAAAACCTAGAATCTAAGCCCTACAATTCCCTTACCCAAACTCCCACTGACTAGTGAGGTAGAAGAGTAAGACATGGAAGCTGTCTCCAAACCAGTATTTGGTCTTCAATAAACAGAGATAAACATAAAACACTGTGTTGACCGGGCACAGTGGCTCCCACCTGTAATCCCAGCACTTCAGGAGGCCGAGACAGGCGGATCACTTGAGGTCAGGAGTTCAAGACCAGCCTGGCCAATGTGGTGAAACCTCACCTCTACTAAAAATACAAAAATTATCCAGGTGTAGTGGCACGTGCCTGTAATCCCAGCTACTTGGGAGGCTGAGACAGGAGAATTTCTGCCATCTGGGAAATGGTGGTTGCAGTGAGCCAAGATCATGCCACTACACTCCAGCCTCGGTGACAGATTGAGATTCCATTTCAAAAAAAGGAAAACAAACAAACACTGTTTCACAAGTGGGCTTCGAAAGAACTACTGGACACAGCACGTGAAAGATCCCAAAGTCCCACTGAGCACCTCCAACAGCAGGAGGAGGAAGAAAGGGAGGAGGGGGAGGAGAGATGAGTGCAGGAGGGGAGATGTGCGTGTTCCCTGCTGAGGTTATTGCTGCCAACTGTCCTGATCTGATGATTTGTACAGTGCCCGCCACTTTCTGGACCAGCCCTCTCATGGCCCAAAGCTCACTTCTCTGAGCCCAAACCTCCCAGTCTCAAGCACAGAGAACAGAAATGCCAGATGCAAAGGCTCTCTGGGTAGGGGTGGTGGAGGGAGTCTTCCGGAGAACACAGGGTTCTTGTGCACCACCTCGGTTACAGGCAGGGCAGGGCAGGGCAAAGAGGATGCTGAGGTACAGCGGGCAGAAGGCAGCAGCTCAGAGGGCAGGGAGGATTCAGCTGGAGACTGACGGGATGTTTCCATGGCATGGCCCCTGCAAGCAACTGCTGAGGTCAGCTGGGATGGAGGGCTGAAGAGCACAGCCCTACCTAACTGGTGTGGGAACAGCATGTCTCCCCTTCCTGAATTCCCACAGAGGAACACGGCTCTTTGCTTTGGAACTTCACACTCAAACAACAAGCCTGAAGGGAATAAGTCTTGCCTGGGCACAGTGG